ACTAAATAAATTCCTTGCCGATGCGAAGGTCATACTTTTTATTATTACATCTCTAAAATAAATGGGAACCAACCAAGTTGCAAATCAATCAATAAAAAGTAGGTGGAAGAAAGACCATAGTTTGACTTCAGTGAACAGAAATGGTCTGCAATCTAGGAATGTGTAGTTTGGTGAGGCACCAGCACCTTTTGGCAGAGAAGGCTAAAGGCCATGCAAAACAACAACTCCTTGGATTCAATAGCATAGAGCTATGACAGTTAAAGTGGGGTCACTCTGTGTTCATTTGACAGTGTAGATCAGGAATGGGCAAACTTTGGCCTTCCAGGTGTTTGGGACTTCAACCCCCACAATTCCTAACACCAACAAACTGAATAGGATTTCTGGGAGTTGAAGTCTAAAACATCTGGAGGGTCAAATTTGCCCATGCCTGGTGTAGATGCACCCCTGGAGAAGTCATAGAGCTGACCCTATACTAGGTATTATTATTATTATTATTATTATTATTATTATTATTATTCAGAGTTATTGTCAGATTTGTCTTGTTCAGCAGAATCATGTTGTAATCCTTGGTCCCAGTGTCCACTAACCCATGCCTCCATGCAGAGGTGGCCCTAGGTAATTTTCAACGGTAAGCAAACAGTATTCCCCCCCCCCCCAACCAATCACTGATATATATTTCCTGTTTGTCGTGGGAGTTCTGTGTGCCATATTTGGTTCAATTCCATCATTGGTGGAGTTCAGAATGCTCTTTGATTGTAGGTGAACTATACATCCCAGTAACTACAACTCGCATAAGTCAAGGTCTGTTTTTCCCCAAGAGCACCTCAAGAGTGCCCCTGGGCAAAATCAACTATACTGCAAATGCTTACTTTGCGTAATGTGTTGAGCCTCCCCTGCCTCCACGGCCACCTCTGTTGCCGCCTCTACCACCACTCCGATCAAAGCCACCTTCTCTTCCTCCACTTCCTCTACCATGGTTGTGGTCTGGCTGACCCCTGTATACACCTTGATCCTGACTGCCATAGCCTCCTCCACTACCACTTCCACTCATGGAGGACTGATCCTGGCCACAGCCACCAGATCCACTACCGCTGCCTCCTCCACTGCTACTGCCACTGCCATACTGACTTTGCTGGCCATAGCTTTGAGGTGGGTTGTAAGAAGGCTGCTGCCCACAGGAGCTCTGCTGCTGGTTGCCATTGCTTGATTGCTGGCCATAACCTCCACTTTGGGGTTGCTGGAGGTTTGAAAGCTGGTGCCATAACTTCCAGTGGTGGAACTGGCTGGCTGCTGGGAGTAGCTGGGAGATGATGACTGCTGTCCATAGGATGTCTGAGAAGTTTGGCTGCTGTCATATCTTGCTGAGGAACCATAGGCCTGTGGTGTTGACTGAGTGCCATAGCCAGAGCTATGAGTCTGTCTGTAAGAAGAACTGTAACTACTTTGGTTGTATACTGAAGTATCTGCTGACTGTCCATATCTGCCATAACTCTGCTGCCCATATGGCTGGCTAGTCTGCTGAGAATAACCCCTGTGTGGGTGGAGTTGGGTAGGCCCCATAACTCTGTGTTACTGACTGACTATAGTCGTTAGATGGCATTGCTGCAGATCCCCTGAAGTCTCCCCTCAAAGTGGTCAAAAGCTACCTTTCTTCCTGTCTCCTTGCCTTCAAGCCATTATTATTGTATATTCCGCTTTTCTTTCTTGATTGAGACACAAAACACTCAAAACATTATAAAACAATGCAATATTAAACCTACAATATATTAATATCAAAACAGAATTAAACCTAGGATTAAAACTAATATGTTAAAATCACCTACAAGAAGTAGAAACAGTGACAATAACTAAAACCCAGAATTCCTTTACTCATTCTTAAATCCTTTCTACTTCAACACCCTGCTTATGTCAATTCAGGTGTAACTAATAACAGAGCAGGCTCAAGATGCTTTGCTGCCTGAAACAGAATAGCAACCCCCTCTGTTCCATCTGTCCTATTTATTGTCTCTGATGCGCTTTCAGTGACATTTTGCGGTCGTTCTGACACAGCAAGTCATTTGGTTGTGTTTCCACATTGAATTGTTTTAAATTCTGAGTGTGAATATTTTTAAAAAATGTTTTGGAATCTGCTTTGGGTCCTATTCTGGGAAAAAGTCAGCAACTGAATCAGTTCAGGTTTCCTTTCAACTCTGTAAACTTTGAAACATGCGAGGTAGATCTCTACTGCAGAAATAATGAAGTTTGACTCAAGTTGGACTGCCATAACTCAGTGCTACGCCATCCTGGGAGTTCTAGTTTGACAAGATCTTGAACCTTGGCCACTTGGGCCAACGGTCAGAGATGCTGAGAGCGGAAGTCCAAAACATCTGCAGGACCAGAGCTTGAGAAGCCTTGCTTTCAATGCTTTCTTGTGTTGTGATAAATATGAAGATTGCAAGGAAAGGTATCGCCAATCTCATTTTTTTTTCATGTCAGGAGCGACTTGAGAAACTGCAAGTTTCTTCTGGTGTGAGAGAATTGGCTGTCTGCAAAGATGTTGCCCAGGGGATGCCCGGATGTTTAGATGTTTTACCATCCTTGTGGGAGGCTTCTCTCATGTCCCTGGATGGGGAGCTGGAGCTGACAGAGGGAGCTCATCTGTGCTCTCCCCGGATTTGAACCTCCAACCTGCTGATCTTCAGTCCTGCCGGCACAAGGGTTTAACCCACTGCGTCACTGGGGGAAATTACACTATGTAACACAATTTTTGTTCCTGGGTTATAAATGTCATTTCATAATTGGTTCTATCATAAAAACATGAAAAACGTTTATTAAACTGCAAAAACTTTGTTTTCATGGGAGGAACATCCTGCTATAGCACATTTTGCTCTCGTTTTTCAATGAATATCTCATAGAGTCCCAACCAATTCAACCTAGTTTGTGGCAGCCACAAAATACAAAGTTTATGGAGCAGAACAACAACTTTCAAAGGAAGTACCACACAATTGAACAGGAAATAACACTTTCAAACCAGGAACAGAATTTCTTTTTTCAAATGTTATAACATAGTGTTATCAATATTGAATTACATATAAATACAAGATATCCCCTGAAGTTCTTTACAGTGCATTAAAGCAGCCAATAGGAAAAACATCCCAACATTAAAAGTTCCTAGCAAGTTCTTTACTGAAGACCTGTGTGAATAAAAAAGATTTTTGCTTGCTGGTGGTAAGATGACAGGAAAGGGGCTAATCTACTTCCCTAGAGAGGGCATTACACTGCTGCCACATAATGCAGTTTGAAACTGCATTCTTTGGTCAGTGTGTGTAGACCCACAGAATGCAATTCTGAATCTGTATTAAATGGTCAGTGTAGACTCATAGAATCCAATTCTGAATCTGTATTGTGTTCTCAGTGTAGACTCATAGAATCCAATTCTGGATCTGTATTACATGGTCAGTGTAGACCCATAGAGTCCAGTCCTGAATCTGAATTGTGTGGTCAGTGTAGACTCATAGAATCCAATTCTGAATCTGTATTATATGGTCAGTGTGGACCCATAGAGTCCAGTTCTGAATCTGTATTGTGTGGTCAGTGGAGACTCACAGAATCCAATTCTGGATCTGTATTACATGGTCAGTGTAGAGCCACAGAGTCCAGTTCTGAATCTGCATTGTGTGGTCAGTGGAGACTCACAGAATCCAATTCTGGATCTGTATTACATGGTCAGTGTGGACCCATAGAGTCCAGTTCTGAATCTGTATTGTGTGGTCAGTGGAGACTCACAGAATCCAATTCTGGATCTGTATTACATGGTCAGTGTAGACCCATAGAGTCCAGTTCTGAATGTGTATTGTGTGGTCAGTGGAGACTCACAGAATCCAATTCTGGATCTGTATTATATGGTCAGTGTGGACCCATAGAGTCCAGTTCTGAATCTGTATTGTGTGGTCAGTGGAGACTCACAGAATCCAATTCTGGATCTGTATTACATGGTCAGTGTAGACCCATAAAGTCCAGTTCTGAATCTGTATTGTGTGGTCAGTGGAGACCCATAGAGTCCAATTCTGGATCTGTATTACACGGTCAGTGTAGACCCACAGAGTCCAGTTCTGAATGTGTATTGCATGGTCAGTGGAGACCCATAGAGTCCAATTCTGGATCTGTATTACATGGTCAGTGTAGACCCACAGAGTCCAGTTCTGAATCTGTATTGTGTGGTCAGTGGAGACTCACAGAATCCAATTCTGGATCTGTATTACATGGTCAGTGTAGACCCATAGAGTCCAGTTCTCAATCTTTATTGTGTGATCAGTGTAGACCAGTGGTTCCCAACCTTTGGGCCTCCAGGTGTTTTGGACTTCAACTCCCAGAAATCCCAGCCAGCTTACCAGCTATTAGAAACAGTGGGAGCTGAAGTCCAAAATACCTGGAAGCCCAAAGGTTGAGAACCACTGGTGTAGACCCATAGCGTCCATTTCTGAATCTGTATTACATGGTCAGTATGCATTCAGAGCAACATTCCATGGCAGCGAAGGTCTAGCCTCATCTGCACTGTAGGATGAATACAGTTTGGGACCAGTTGAATTGCCCTGGCTGAATGCTCTGGAATCCTGGGAATTGTAGGGCAGACTTTGGTAAAAAATCACTCCCGGGATGCTATGGCGGTGTCAAACTGCGTCAGTGCTACCGTGCGGATACACGTGAGCGATCAAAGCAGACACCCCTCCCTTTAAAAAAATACAAAAGCCAGGGGAAAACATGTCCGGACAAGCCCCCCCCCCCCAAAAAAAAAAAAAAAAAAAAAAAAGAAGTTCCAAAGAGAGGCGCAGTTTAGATGAAGAAAGATGCCTTGCAGATCCTGGGCGAAGGGGTTGCTAGCTTGGAGTGGCGGAGTTCTCCAAGGGGGGGGGGGGGGGGGGCACCTCCGAGGTGGGCAAAACAAGGGGGAAAGAGGGGGGGGCGGGGGGGGGGGCTGGTTTTGCCGCCGCCCCCCTTCCCCCTTCCCTAGGACACCTTACCTTGCCTTGGGTTCCCCAGGAGCAGAGAGCCGCCGCTGTCAGGAGAGGGAGCCAGCCCCAAAGGCAGGGCAAGGAGGGCCAAGCCGTGCCCATGGCTGGCAGGCAGGCAGGCTGGCTGGCAGGCGCCTGGACCCGCCGGGAAAGAGCCCGCACCGAGGAGGCTGTGCCCGGGACCTTGGGCTGCCCTCCGCCCCCTTTCCCCCTTCTTCTTCCTCCTCCTCCCTCCCTCCCTCCCTCCCTCTGGGTGCCCCCCCCCCCCGTCCCCGGTTTGGAGAATTTCCACCTTTTCAGTGGGAAAAAAAGAGGCACCCAGCCTTCTTTGCTTGGACCCTATTTATTTCTACCCCCTTTTTCAAAATTCAACCATGTTACAAAAAAAATGTGGGGGGAGGGGTTCTGTTCCTGCTTTGAAAGTGTTCTTTCCTATTTAATTCTCTGCTCCCGGCTTTGGCTGTCATTGTTCTACTCCAGAATTTGGTTGCGATACTCATTGTATCTCAATCGAGAGTGCCTTGGACAGGAGGAATATCCAACCAGTCCATACTTCAGGAAATAATGCCCGGCTGCTCATTGGAGGGAAGGATATTAGAAGCAAAGATGAAGTACTTTGGCCACATCATGAGAAGAGAGGAAAGCTTAGAGAAGACAATGATGCTGGGGAAAATGGAAGGAAAAAGGAAGAGGGGCCGACCAAGGGCAAGATGGATGGATGGGATTCTTGAAGGGACTGGCTTGACCTTGAAGGAGCTGGGGGTGGTGACGGCTGATAGGGAGCTCTGGCATGCGCTGGTCCATGAAGTCATGAAGAGTCAGAAGCAACTGAACAAATAAATAAATAATAAAGTCATTGTATTGTCAAAGGTTTTCATGGCCAGAAACACTGGGTTGTAGGTTTTTCAGGCTGTATGGCCATGTTCTAGAAGCATTCTCTCCTGACGTTTCGCCTGCACCTATGGCAGGCATCCTCAGAGGTTGTGAGGTCTCTCTTTCTGTATCTCACAACCTCTGAGGATGCCTGCCATAGATGCAAGCAAAACGTCAGGAGAGAATGCTTCTGGAACATGTCCATACACCCGAAAAACCTACAACAACCCATAAATTGTTCCACCAGCATGTGGGCAATTTCAACCAAAAGGAGAAAACCATGAAAATGAACAATATCTAGCTCCCAGTATTCTTTGTGAAAACTCTAAAATTAGGACAGTAAAGAGCAACACTCAAAAAAATAGTGGAATTCCCAACAAGAAACCATCAGGGCCAGCTAGCACCTCCCAACAAAGGATTCCCCAGGCAGGAAGCAGCCAGGCTTTGAAGTTGCAAGGCCATTCAATGCTAATCAAGCTGGCCAATTGCAACATTCCCACTTGCCTCTAACAGTTAAGAGTTCTTTCTCCAACCCTGGACATTATTCCACAGGTATATATAAAACCCCGCTTGCCTAGTTTCCAATAGACCTCACAACCTCTGAGGATGCCAGGCAAGCTTCTGGAAAAGATCATTAAGGAAGTGGTCTGCAAACACTTAGACAGGAATGCGGTCATCGGTAATAGTCAACATGGATTGATCAAAAACAAGTCATGCCAGACTAATATGATCTCTTTTTTGTGATAGAGTTAGAAGCTGGATAGAAGCAGGGATCGATAATGCCCCCCATGATCTTCTGGCAAGGACACAAGTCCAATGTGGGCGTGGCAGAGCTATGGCTAGTTGGATCTGTAATTGGTTAAGTGAACAAACCCAAAGGGCGATTCTCCCCAATGCTTCCTCTTCATCCTGGAAAGAAGTGAAAGAATCCTTTCAAATATGGAAATGTTGCCAACATGTCATCTCTTGGTTTCCTGACAACTGATTGATTTAGGCCCCTTCTACACTGTCATATAATCCAGATTATCAAAGGAGATAATCCATATTATCTGCTTTGGATTACATGAGACCACACTGCCATATAATCCAGTTCAAAGCAGATAATCTGGATTTTATATGGGGGCCTTAGCTGCCTTTTTAAGGATGCATTCTGGTTTGTCCATCTCCTCCTCAAACCAATTTGCCCAAAACTGGACATAGGATTATTCCAGGTGAAGTCTGACCCGAGCAGAATAAAATGGGACTATGTACTTCATCCTACAACTTCTAGGATCCATTTCCATGCGCTTTGGAAATGGAGCCCCACGAGAATCCTACGGAGGCCATCACATGATATAATGGCACTCTTGATGGGACTTAGCGGGACTCTGTTTTCCGCAGCACATGGAAATGGAGCCTAGAAGCCATCTTCAGGAGTCGGTTGTCATCCAACTCTAAACAGCAAAAAGCATGACAAAGCGCAGGAAAGACAAACATTGACACGGTAAGGACATGGGATAGCTGGCCATCCCTGAAGATGGGAAAGAAATTATTATTATTATTATTATTATTATTATTATTATTATTATTTATATTCCACTTTATCTCTCCAAGGGGACTCAGAGTGGATTACAACATACACAGATAGGCAAACATTCAATGTCTTTAATACAGTGGAAATAACAATGACATAAAAATACACAACAAAAATAAAGGCTTCCCCTTTCATCTCCAGCTTTCTGGAGGCAGTGCTCAACTCTGGCCATGGGCAGGTGCTCTTCTTCTAATTCCAAGCCAAGGAACCTGTTGTCCACAGACACCTCCTGGTTGTGTTTGCCAGCATGGTTACATGGGTGCCTTTATTACCTTCCCACCGAAGCGGTACCTATTGGTCTACTCACATTTACATGTTTTCGAACTGCTAGGTTGGCAGGAGCTAGGGTTGACAATGGGAACTCACCCCATCCCGCGGCTTTGAACTGCCATCCTTCCAGTCGGCAAGATTTTCTGCAGCTGGTGGTTTAACACACTGTGCTACCACGGCCCCTTTCCCTCCCAATTTGGTCTCACCTGCAGATGTGATTAAGCATGCCATCTATTCCATTGTCCAATACATTGATGAAGATGTTGAATAGCCCTGAAAGGCCTAGGATTGAACCCTATGACATTCCACTGATCACTTCTCTCCAGGATGAGAAGGAACCAGACTTGAACACTGATGTATCCCAATCCCTGCGACCCTTATGTTGAAAGAAAACATGGCATAAGTGGACCAAGACACTCAATGCGCAGTGCTTTTGAATGCACAGTTCAAAAGCACATTGCACACATGTGGACCAAATGCAATGGTGCCACTCTCAACTCAATTCCAGTGACTGTCACATGAATATGGACCAAAAAGTACAACTGCTTGAAGAGGAGAATGAAAGTACAGGATTCCAGGACAGTGGAGAAAATAGTGACTGGGGTGTCTGCTCATTCTACAATCCAAATCTGGAAAAGAGGCCATACTAAGTGGAATAGTTTGAGCTCAACTAAATTCCTGAGAGCTTGGGAAAGTTACATTTTTAATTATGGTCCCCCAAATCTCCCAGCCAGCTCTGGTTTGGTGTGTGGATTTTGCTCACGTTTGCACTGTGGTGAACTGAGTTTACAAAAGGATTCCTGGGCTAATTTGTCTTCCTGTCCTTGTTTATTTGCTTCTGAGATGTGCTCAATACTATGCATGCAGATGAAGGCAGAAACTTGTGTTGGTATCACCTAGCAGCACCTTTTAAAACAGTGGTTTTCAACCTTCCTAATATCACAACCCCTTAATACAGTTCCTCATGTTGTGTTGACCCCCAACCATAAAATTATTTTCGTTGCTACTTCATAACTGTAATTTTGCTACTGTTATGAATCGTAATGTAAATAGCTGATATCCAGGATGTTTTTTCCTGGACCAAATTTGGCATAAATACCTGGTACTGGTGGGGTTGGGGGGTTGGTTTTGTCATTTGGGAGTTGTAGTTGCTGGGATTTATAGTTAACCTACAATCAAAGGACATTCTGAACTCCACCAACGATAGAATTGAATCAAGCTGGGCACACAGAACTCCCACGACCAACAGAAAATACTGGAAGGGTTTGGTGGGCATTGACCTTGAGTTTTGGAGTTGTAATTAACCTACATCCAGAGACCACTGTGGACTGAAACAAGGATAAATCTGGACCAAACTTGGCACAAAGACTCAATATGCCCAAATGTGAACACGGGTGGAGTTTGGGGAAAATAGACCTTGACATTTGGGAGTTGTAGTTGCTGAGATTTATAGTTCACCTACAATCAAAGAGCATTCTGAACCCCACCAACAATAGAATTGGGCCAAACTTCCCACAAAGAATCCCATGACCAACAGAAAATACTGTGTTCTTTGGTTTTTATTGGAGACCCCTCTGACACCCCCTCATGACCCCCCCCCCAGGGGTTCCCACCCCCAGGTTGAGAAATGCTGTTTTAAAGAATTAGCCCTTGTGGCAGGCAGGTTGATGCTTAAATGTCAGTTCTCCTAGAAAAATAAGGTAGCTGTCAGAGCTGAGGATGGACTGGTAGAGCTTCCCCTGATGAAGTGCCCTCCAAAACATAGAATCATGGAATTATAGAATTGGAAGAGACCCTAAGGGCCAACCAGTCCAACCCTCTGCTATGTGGAAAAAACACAATAAAAGTACCCCTCTACTACTTGGACTCCAACTCCTGTGATCCCACCTACGGGAGGTGTAGTTCAAGACATCTGAAAGGTAGAAGACTGGGGAAAAGTGTTCCCAGCCCTTGCAGGAAATGTGTAAATTCACAGCCAGGAAGTACAAGCCACTGTGGTGCCCATCTGGAGCACTGTTCACTATCAATTGACCTTGGCACCTATTAACAGTTGGCACCAGACTTACATGTCTGGAGGAAATCAAGCAAGCTGCAATTTAATCCAAACAGTTTGTTAGCTCCTAGTTTGTTAGAATGCAGTTCAACATAAGCGTTGAACTGTGCTAGAACTAGATGGAGTTAGTACTCTCCTCCTGAAGAGGCAGGTTTGTAGTCTGGATGTGTGTCTGGACTCATCTCTGAACTTGGATTGCCAGATTTCAGTGATGGTTCAGAATGCATCTCCACAATTAAAGCTAGTGCGCCAACTGTCCTTTTGACCTTGCAGGTGTTGACTCTGGCCACAGGGACACATGCCTTAACAACATCCCATTTGAATTACCATATTGCATTCTGCATCAAGCTGCCTTTGAAGTATGTTCAGAAACTGTAGCTGGTTCAGAATGCTGCAGCCGGACTGTTGTCTGAGGCTGGTTATA